GAGAGTCTCCAGACTGATCTGCGAGTGAAACCTTGAAAGCTCGCGAGATCAGGATGGTCTCACGAGGCTAAAGTCAATGAGCTACTTGGGAAGAAACTGAAACGCAAGTCCAGAAAGGCTGAACAAATCACTGCAAAGTTACGTTTTTTTTTTCTTCTGTACTTAAAGAATCTTATGGAAACACTTCATGCCCATTTAGGGTTCAATACAAAAAATATTCTAAATTTCATTCCTTTATCTTCCTTTCAGGGATGATTGATATAGCATTGTTACCGTTGGTGTTGACCCATGTTAGACAAAAATTTTAATTTATTATTATTGGCCTGATATTTAGAAGATTCTTGTCCATCTTTTTGGCATTTGTCAGCAAAATGAAAAGTGGAAGTGAAGAATTGTGTTTTTTTAACTGAAGGAGAGGCAATGTCAAGATGTACGGCTGGGAAATATATATAATATCCGTAAAGGTCGGCTAACAGAGAGATATCAATAACAGATATTAATATCTGCCGAGATCCTTGTATTGGTTGCATGGTTTTTACTAAAAGAGAGCAGAATCAGCAGTAAACCTTTGAATAAACCTGCGATTAGACAATTACCACATCATTCTAAATAGCAGATTGTTGGTCTAAAAAACGTAACATGTTGCGAATGGCTAAACAGCAACCTCAATCACATGTTGTTCTGCTTTGTCTCCTAATATTTGTATTTACCGAATACCATTTGTGTCAACATTCTGACAAAAGAAAAACATGATTTTTAGAGTTTATTTCTTTTCTTAGGATTTCATAATTTTATTTTGAAAGTAGATATACAAGAAATGCGGTTTAGAGAGATGGCAAAGACACGTGGCATAGGTCAACAGGACCGGGGCTCAGATGCATGAGCCGCATTAAGGACGCCACCACCGTGCCACACACATCAGATTATATATCTGGCCTGATATCTCCCAGATCAAACACCATACAAATATTTTACCTGCTTTTTAGCAGCGTATCGATAGGTAAGGATTAAATTCAGTTTGAAAGTAATGTGAGGCTCCGCCCTCTTAATTAACTAAACATACGATGTTAAACTACGGGTCAAATAAAGACTATTGCTTATAAAAACGTATATTTCACCGCACTGTCTCTTTTGCCCACTGCAGCCATGTTTTGGCTGCAGTGGGCAAAGGAGACAGTGATAAAGTGAGCATGAAAGGTATGATCAGTGATGAGTCACTCATTTCCACCCATACAGACTAAAGCTTTTCTTTAATGTAAATTAATGAACTTCTTTGTTCGTCTGCTCGCACAAACTCAGAGGATTCCCACTGTCACTGATGAGGGTACTTCAGGCCAGATAGAGGAGAGAAGATAATCATTGCCTTTGCAATAAATGCAATGTTGGACATGCTGAGCTTGAGACCATATTTTTATTTTTATCAGATAAAAAAAAAAAAAAAAAAAAAGAAAGCCTTCTTTCACAATCTGATTGGCTAAATTATCAAAATACTGAGATTGTAAGGCAGAGAAAGTTATATTTAAGTGATAAAATGTATAATTTGGGAGTTTCCTTACATATTCAAGGATTATTCTTATTAGTTACTAAGACCATTATATAATATTAAATCAATATTAAAAAATCAAATTAAGACCTGTATTTTCAAATACATTTTAAACTTTATATCAAAACCTTTCAAATTTGCAAATATTTTAATATATCTTATCATAAATATTTAAAATCGTAGATGCAGGTCATCTTAAGGAAAGGGATTAATTTAATTTCCTTGTGTGTGTGCTCTTTGCAGGGTTAAGCTTGTGCAAGCTGCATTTTGAATCAAACCAAGTCAAGCATCAAGTATGTTTGTCTTAATTACACTTAGGGTTATCTTAAAAAGAACAGCAGCACATTTTAGTGAAAAATTGTTCCACAACTCAGCAGAAAACTTAATTTATGCTGTACAATAAATCAAAAACATCATAAAAAGAATGAAACTAATACATGTTCAAAGAAGTCCTATTTTAAGAGGGAAAATAATTACTTAATTGTTTTGCTTTTAGATAAAAGGAGTTTGTTTAATGCTTTGTAAGCTTAGTTTTCTCTTTTTGTGTGTTGTTTGGTTTTGGATATTTGCAAAAGTTCTGCAAAGTCACAAAAGCCACAGCAAAGGAAGTCATTTTTTCCTATTCAAAGACTGCACACTTCTAAACTGCACATCAGGCTTTTCTTCCATCATTTTTATAAAATGACAGGGTTGGCACATGAACAGCTGCCTCTTATCACACTTTTTTCTAAACAAATGACTGACCAGTCAATACAGATGTTAAAGAGTGAATGCATAATAAAGAAAGGCTGTAACTTGCAGCAGCAGTGTGCAGGATGATAGCAGTAATGGGATTTTCTTACACATAAAGAAATTCAGGAAAATTAAGCCTTACCAATATATATTCGTGTCTTCAGTGTAATGTTGTGTCCATCTGCATCAAGGCAGTGAAATTCCCAATATTCTGCAGCTGCATGAAGGAATCTGTAGCTTTTACCATTAGATCACTATAGTTTTGTTTTACTTTTTTT